ATTATTGCTAAACCTCTGTATTTAGAATGTGCTATTACCTTTTGTATCTCTGCAGGGAAAGTGAGAAGCCTAAGTTCGTCATTGTGGACACTGACCCATTTGACAGCTTTGCATCTCAGTGACAATTCCTTATCCCGTATTCCTTCAGACATTGCCAAGCTTCACAATCTGGTATATCTGGACCTGTCCTCTAATAAAATTCGCAGTTTACCAGCAGAGCTCGGAAACATGGTGTCACTCAGGTGTGTAACAGAAGTTAAAACTGTTCTCTTTTAGCCGTGTAGCAACGGTTTAAATTCCAGTGTAATTTTTACATTCCAGTAAATGAAAAGCTGAAGTGTATTGCCCCTTCCTCACATCTTTTTATCTGTCTCTCTAAATATTTCTTATGGTCCGTGCAGCTATAGCAGTGCTGGCTTGTCTGTGATCTCTTGCTGCGATGTATGACAGTATGGAATGAGCTTCTGAAGTGCTCAGTTTGATGGCAATCACCCATTTATATTTTTCAAAGTCAAGCTTACTCTCTTGAACATCTCTTTCCAGGCTCATACACATTTTTATCTGGCATTTTTCTCTAAAAAATACTGATGTACAAAACAACACTGCTTTTAACTGATAGTAAAGTAGGAAAAAGGTCAGACTAAGCATTCATAACCATGTTAACTACGGTTTTTTCCTCTTTATTCATCTGTAGTAGTTATTCTTAACAATAGTTCTTATTCTGTTTGTTTTATCACAACTGCAACTTGCCTAATATCTCTTTCCCGCTTTTGCTGTTGTGCAGTTGCATTCCTGTGCAAACTGGGGAGGAGGGAGAAAAATCATCTAAATGCACCTTTTCTTTTTTACCTCAACTTTACAGTGCCAAGATCTGCACAGTTTGGATACCTCCTTTTGGAAGTAAAACATGAATAGTGATTCTTAGTTAGATTACAATTAAAACTGCAGCATTTCACTTCAAAAAACAGTTATGTAAATATATAAATCATTTATCTAAGCGTAAATATTTACAGGTAACATTCTTCTGCCCTTGACCCAAAGGAAGAGCCTTATTTTACCTTTCTTAGACAGTTACCATCAATTGCCTTCATTGCTTTAATTTTGAAGACATTTGTGGACAACTTTCTCAAATCCAGAAAACAGTCTAAAAGTAACAAGAGCATTATTAGAAGTAAAGAAGAAGACAACAGAGAAATGGGCTGCCAGCACAGCTCTAATGAAGCTGGAAGCAAAGCAAATTTGCACATAGAAAATCTGTCACTGCATTTTCTTCTGCTTTTGAAAAGTCCACTCTGTTGGGGGAGATTAAACTAGCTGATTAAAGCGGTTCTAAAAGCTCAAATTCCAAAGCAGTTCAAGTCTCAACCTTGAAGGCTGAGCAAAGGGACCTTGCCTTTTAGAGCGTTATTGGCAGCTCTGTTTTGTAGTGTGTTGTGCAGTTGTTTTCAGCTGTGCATTAGTGTGTTCTAAAGAAAGCTTTGCATTACTATTTCAATTAAAAGCAGTTATTAGTAACAGGTTTCTTCCCTCCTTTATACACTCACCTTGTGAGCTAGCAATCCTGAGTTTACTGGAATGTTCTCAAATTTATCTTTGTACTTCATTAGCATCCTTTTATTTTCATCAATCTCTTTCATTTTAAAACATTTTAAACATAATACAACATGGAGTTAGCTTAGCAGTGCATAAGCTAACAGTAGTGTCAAAAGATGTGCCTTCTTCCCAATGCTTTTCCCAATTCATTCTGGCTGATTCTATGAAGCTGCAGCTCTTCCGCACCCTAAGTCTCTTCTGAGTACTGAAGGCTAAATCTTGTGAATGTGAAATGTGTAGCTAAGGTCTAGCATCACATTAGTTTTCTATTTATGACCTAAACATAATACTTGAGCCCAGATCTCTGAATGTGAAAAGCTAGTGCATTAATCCACTGTGCTCTGGCTGCCCTCAGTAATTGCATCTGATCGACGATTTCTTTTCACTGGGATGAAAGTGAAGAAAAATCCGTAAGTGCATCCTATGTGATAGTGCTCTGCAGGTCTCAGCTGTGCTGGAGTTTTATGTTTCAGGCTGGCTCTTACTGCAGACATTTCCCATAGCTTCTGGGAAGTTGTTCAAACTAATGGTAATTCAACACTGTGCATTGCTAATATCCTGAGCCACGGAAATTATCTGTGCTCTTACACTTGAGAATTGGTAACATGTCTTCCATCTGGACCTCTGGGTTTGGTCTTGCCTAAGGTTCCTTACATCTCCCTTTTTACTGCAGGTACCTGAATAAAGAGGTGTTGAGCAGTAAGGTTTCTGATCTTTGGCGGGGAGGGGGGCGGAAATGAACACTGTAATGCATTATCTTGGAAAGCTCAGCTGTAAAACAGATTCTTGTGGTATGCTTGAAAGAACTTGGTGTGCACCCTCAGTAAATTTGCAGACAACACCAATTTGGGTGGGAGTGTTGACCTGGTTGAGGGTAGGAAGGCTCTGCAGAAGGATCTGGACAAGTTGAGTTGATGGAGTGAGGCCAGTTGTATGAGGTTCAACAGGGCTCAGTGTCAGGTCCTGCATGTGGGTCAAAACAACCCCATGTAATGCTCCAGGCTTGGAGAAGAGTGACTGGAAAGCTGCCCAGCAGAAAAGGACCGGGGGTGCTGGTTCACAGCAGGCTGAGCAGGAGCCAGCTTGGGCCAAGGCGGCCATCAGCATCCTGGCCTGTATCAGCAATAGTGTGCCCAACAGGACCAGGGAAGTGATTGTTCCCCTTCACTGGGCACTGGTGATGCTGCACCTTGAATCCTGCGTTCAGTTCTGGGCCCCTCACTACAAGAGAGACACTGATGTGCTGGAGCAGGGCCAGAGAAGGGCAATGAAGCTAGTGAGGAGTCTGGAGCACACGTCTTGTGAGGAATGGCTGAGGGAACTGGGGTTGTAGAGTCTGGTGAAAAGGATGCTGAGGGGAGACCCTATTGCTTTCCACAGTACCTGAAAGGAGGATGGAGAGAGGAGGTGGCTGGTCTCTTTACCCAAGTAACAAGTGATAGGACAGGAGGAGATGGCTTCAAGTTGTGCAAGGGGAGGTTTAGATTGGATATAAGGAAAAATGTCTTCACTGAAAGGGTCATCAAGCGTTGGAACTGGCTGCCCAAGGAAGTGGTAGAGTCACCACCCCTGGGGGTATTAAAAAGACAATTAGATATGGCCTTTGGGGACATGGTTTAGTGGTGGACTTGGCAGTACTGGGTTAATGGTTGGACTCTGATTTTAAAGGTGTTTTCCAACTAAATGATGTTACGGTTCTATGAACTAGTGGGATTTGCTGTGATCCCCTTTGCTATGTAGAGTGGGCGGCTTCTATTAGAGAAAATAATTCTTTCATCCAAGAGATAAAGTGTAATGATACCAACTGCTGTGCTGTTCTTCCAGCTCAGTGTTTTTCCTCTAGACTTCTTAGATTTCAGTAGTGCTTTGAAAAACTCTTAGAGGAAAAAGTAGCTTCCTAAAGAATAAAACAGTAGCTTTATAAGGTCATGTAGAATATCATTCTTAAAAATGATAGTGATTTAAGTCTCAAATGTCTGTGGAAGTGCTGAGAACTAGTGGAGATGTTGGGGTTTATTTTTTTTTAACTCCTCATCCTCTTTTCTACCTGCCACATTCCTCATTCATACTTAGGAGCCCTAGAATGACACAGTGGGCTTCTGAGTTCTTCTCCAAAGTACATGCTTTTGTCTGTGGGATTTTATATTGGAAAAAACTAAACTCACAGCTGGCTACATGTGCTATAGTTTGCAAAGAGTTGAGCAGTAATTTGGCATTTCTGTATTACACAGAGTCTCCTCCCATATCTCTTCCACTAACACACACCCCAGAGTGTCCCTAAAACAAGCCACTTTATTTTTACCAAGGTTTCTCAATATGCAGTGAAACAGAGAGAATTTCTCAAAGTTCTTGTTGGGGAAGTACCAGGTAGAGTTTACTTTTGAAAGGCAAAGCCAGAAGAAGAGTTTTATCTGTCTGCTTCAAATGCTGTCTTGTAGAAATCTGAAAGAGCAAAGGTAACTCTTGGCATCCAGGTTTCCTTTCTCTTCTTTCCCTTTGTTTGTTGCCTGAAAATACTTCTCAAGTCTCTATGCACCAAGTTGTAAACAATCTGAAGGAGCAACTTTATATTGAATATGGTGAGGAAAGTGTGCATAGCTTAGATGGGAATACCTGTAAGAAAGGGAAAAGGTCCTACCAAGTCCATCAGAATTTGGGACATGAATTGTGTTCCTGTCTGCATATTGGTTTTGTAAGATAAAAAGCATGTATTTTTGTCTTAACACTGTAATTATGGGGAAAAAAACCCAAGCCAACAGAAAATTACTGTTGTAAATGACTGTTACATGGTAATGCCATAGTTCTAATTGTACTGCCATGCCATGATCCTGGATTTTTTGCTTGTTTGTTTCCTGAGATATAATTTCCCTTTATTTGGCCTTTAATCACAGCTGAACTGTTTCATGGTCTGCTTTGTCAGAGCTCTTACTGCTTCATCACTTAGAGTTATTAAAGTATTTAATTATTGCTAACGTTTACAAAATTTCTGACTTTTTAAGATGAACTCAACAAACACACTTTTCTCTGTACTTCAGCTTAATTTGTTTTGTCTCTGTATGTATGAGTACAGCAGTATTACCTTGAGTATTGCTGTTCAGTCTTTGAATTTTCCAATATTGTGGTTTGCTGGTATGTTGTCTCTTTTTTAGTTAAACTTCTTGTACTCTACTGCTAAAGACAAATACTGGTCTGTTTTCAGCCCTGTTTGATTCTTGCTCTGTCTACAGGGAACTACATTTAAATAACAACCTGTTACGAGTTTTACCTTTTGAGCTGGGGAAACTGTTCCAGTTACAGACCTTGGGTCTGAAAGGTATTCCTACTTTTTCGTTGTATCCATGCTTGTTTAATGATAACGCTTCTGAGATGTATTGGCTGTAATCTGCAAATTCATAAAATAGCAATAGCAATCCCAGATGTAGCCACTTACTCCACATGTATAGATACTGTTATTTAGGGATTATTTGAAACAAAGAAAAAGAATGAGTTTGTCAAAGCACTCCATAAGTAAAGAAGTTTGCTTCTTTTTCTGCAGAGTGAGCAGAATGTGCATTGTCTATGACAACTTTTACAATCTGTGTGTGTGTTTGGTAGGACTGCTCATACATGACTGGCAAATAAACTGATGGTGGATGTTTCACTCACATCAGGCAAAGCAAGCAGAGGAGGCTCCTGTGTTTGGCCTCATCAGCTCTGCCTGTGTGTTGTACCATGCCAGTTCTTCACTATTGTTAGATCCAGTGGCTGCTTTTGGAGTGGTCGGTTTGGAGGCAGATGCAGGAGGGAATGAGGCTAACTTTGCTGGAGCTGTTCACACATCCAGTGTTTTATGGGATTGAAGACCTGAGATCTGAAACCTCTGAGTAGTTCATAGTAGGTGCAGTATCTTTCTCAGAAATGCCAGCTTTAAACACTGATATGCAAGTTCATATTGGCTCTCTATATTTTATTCAATATTTCTGTAAACCTGTTTGCAGGAAATCCACTTACACAGGATATTCTGAACCTTTATCAGGAACCAGATGGGACGCGAAGGCTACTGAACTATTTGCTTGATAATTTGGCAGGTACTGCAAAAAGAAGTAAGTGCTCATTCTTGAAACATTTATTTCTGCTGTGTAAAATAAACGTGATTATCACTTGTTGCATCTCTACTTTAAAATGTTCCCATAGTTTCAACTGAACAACCACCTCCAAGATCTTGGATTATGTTGCAAGAACCAGACCGTACAAGACCAACAGGTACTGTAATGCTTTAAGGATTTTTCCTTTTCTGTTTTTTTTCCTTTTCTGTTGATGTTTACTGAAAAATAAATGTTTAAATTGACCAATCATCTGTGCAGTGCTGACCAGCCAGCTGAAGTAAATCTGTCTCAGTTGGAAAACCTGTTCCAGATATACTCATTTCTTACTATAACGTAATTTCTTTTGAATTGACATCCTCCTCAGCGGAATTGACACTGTTGTCCACAACTAATTAAATAGTTGAGTTGTAACAGGCTTAACTGAACATTTCCTGAAGAATAAAAGAAATAATTTCCCAAAAATGGAGAATTCTTTTAAGTAACTAACGTATCATCTTTGACTCAGCACTTCTCTTGCTGTTGGGATTCAGGTTGTGTCTGTTTAATTATTTACTAATTCTCTTCTGCATAAATTGTCTAAAATACACCCTATTCTATTTACCTGCACACTAAACACTTTAGTGTATTTCTCAATTATTGCAGTCTTCCAGGCTGATGTACATTCCCCCAACAAAACCCAAAATCCATCCTGTCAGGTTGTCCCAAACTGTCTCATCACTCCTGTTCCAAATTCGTACAGGGAGTAGATGTTTCTTGTTTTTTACACCTGAAGTGTAAGTTTTTTGAGGTGCAAACACTTAGGGTTTTATTTTGCCTATACTTTTTCACTGTGCTTAGGGTTCCATTGTGCCTATGGGCCTGTTACAGGTCATCGTGGTAGTAATTGAAGTAGATTTTAAATCACCTATTTGAAGAGTTTGCAAACCTTTGTATAGCTAGCAAATATATTTTTACACTTGAAGTGTAACTTTTTGAGGTGCAAACACTTAGGGTTTTATTTTGCCTATACTTTTTCACTGTGCTTAGGGTTCCATTGTGCCTATGGGCCTGTTACAGGTCATCGTGGTAGTAGTTGAAGTAGATTTTAAATCACCTATTTGAAGAGTTTGCAAACCTTTGTATAGCTAGCAAATATAAGTGCTCAGATACACTGACCTTGTTTCAGGCTTTTCACAGTAGCGCAGCACTCAGCATAAAGTGCATTTGTCTGCTATTTACTGCATTAAAGGGTGGGTTTGGTTTTTGTTTTCCAATTAAATGCTAGAAGACAGCTGCCATATGTCCAAACCTCTAATTTATCTTCCTAGAAAGACTATCAGAGGTTTTTTTTAGTATATCTGCATGTGCTGTGTTTTGGTTGAAGCAAATACAGCAAGAACTATTAAGATTTGCAGAAGACAAAAGTGAAGAACATAATTGTGTGTGTGTATACATGTATTTGTTTACTATATGTAAGTAAGTGTGTAAGTAAAATTCTTGTTCTGCAGCCTTGTTCTCTGTCATGTGTTACAACGTACTCTGTGATAAATATGCTACCCGGCAGCTGTATGGCTATTGTCCTTCTTGGGCCTTGAACTGGGAGTACAGAAAAAAAGCCATTATGCAGGAAATCCTGAGCTGCAATGCTGACATCATAAGTCTTCAGGTAAAAGATGTACCATTAGTTCTTTACCCTTTCCATTCCCCTGTGCTGGTTTCTCCACATTAAATGTATTTACAGTAAATGGTGTGTTTTCAAAACCTTCTGAAAACAAAAGCAAAGAAGAAGTGATGTTTAGAACATTATTTGTTGCTTGACATCAAAAGAATGCTTTTCAGCCCACACTGTTGGAATGTGAACCAGCAGCTGTGATCAAAGAAGTGTACGTGGGGGTGTCTTTGTGCCTCTGTGTGTATATGGGGCTATAATTGACATATTTTCAAATAAAAAGCTTGGGATAATCATAACTCTGGGGATTACAGAAATTCATTTATATTTTCTTAAAATAGGGATATTGCTCTGAAATTTGCATTCTCTGATGTACTTAATTCTTGCAATTTTTTCCCCTTAAATCTAATTCGAAAGTGATTTACACTTCTGAAGATTCTAAATAGTATCAGCCTTCTGTATTTTGCCAATAGTACATTCATACTGTGCCATCTTCTAACTTTGTAGGAGGTTGAAACAGAGCAGTACTACAGTTTTTTCCTGGTGGAATTGAAAGAACGTGGCTACAATGGATTCTTCAGTCCAAAATCCAGAGCTAGGACAATGTCTGAACAGGAAAGAAAACATGTTGATGGTTGTGCAATATTTTTCAAAACAGAAAAGTAAGTTGATGTGTTTTGCAAAAAGCCTTCTATTGTGTCTTGCTCTCTTTTACATAATTGGTCTATAGCTCGAAGAGATTGACATCGGTTGCCCTTTTTGTAGCCATTGGATGTTTCTTACAGGGCAAAAAAAAAATATGTGTCTGTACAAGAGAAATCGATCTGTGCAAAATTAGCAGTAGAAAATTTTACCTTGAAGTTTTAAGTTGAAATTTCGTTCTGTTAGATGCAGGTTAGGAGTTCACTAAATGATACTTCAGTTGCTGAGTGCGTGTGTCCCAACTGTTAGGTGTTAATAGTGAAAAATGAAGGAAATGTCTTATTTTCATGCCTTTGGTTTTTTGGTTGTTTTTTTTTGTTTGTTTGTTTGTTTGTTTTGTTTGGTTTTGTGTGGGTTTGTTTGTTTGTGTTGTTTTTTGTTTTTTTTTAAAGGGAATTGGTAAATCCCAATATTGCTGAAATAAGACCTCAGATGGCAGTGACTTTCTGATAAAATAGCCCTCTGATAAAGCAAAAGACAAGCCACTTGATATCACTCCTGGCTTCTGGAAAAAAGCCATTATTTAAGAGCAGCAGCACTTACTGATTGTGTCATATTGTATTTGTACAAGTGTTTGGATATGAGGGTAATAACTTCCCCTGCCCCTCCTGCTTCCATTCCTTGGTGTTCACAAGTCAATGCAGGTGCCAGATGGGATACCTTTTGGCTTAGGAAATTATTTAGTCCCTCTTCTATTAAACCTGCGTCTTTGAACTGGAAACTACTGCAGAATTAGAAGCAAGCACTACGTTTCTGTAGTCACCAACCCCCCCTTAGTTGAAACTAAGGCAGTATAAAATACATAAAAATTGCTGGGAAAACGATATCCTTTGATTTCAGTTTAGTATTTTATGAAATGATGTTGTTGGCTGAGATTTTCACATCATAAATGTGTTTGAGCTTTAATTAAAAAGAGTTATCTAGAATATTTCCTTTTGTATCTGGCTGCTAAAAAACCACATATGATGTTTCTCTTTCAGATTTACTTTGGTTCAAAAACATACTGTTGAGTTCAATCAACTAGCAATGGCAAACTCAGAAGGTTCAGAAGCTATGCTGAACAGAGTTATGACAAAAGATAACATTGGAGTTGCTGTATTGTTAGAACTGCGGAAGGAATTGATAGAAATGTCATGTAAGTCCTATTTAGTTTAATTTTTTAATAGATTGTATTTTGTTAATGAAAGAAAATAATTTTTGTTACAGCAAACCCATGAAACTGGGTTCTACAAATTAATATAACTTTGCACATTGTATGTTCAGGCAGATTTATTTCCAAAGAGAATTTGGGAATAAGTCATATTGTTTCAATGCTGAAGAAGTGGGGTTTTTTGCTTGAAGTTATGTACAGGTATCAAAGAACCAGTGGGTGTTAGTCATGTATTTCTGGATCGTTTATCTGCATCATTTTAGCTTGTTACTTTCTTCCCTCTCATGCTCATACAACCTGTTTGTTCTGCCCTGTCATTCTTATTTAGGAAATGTAAATTGGCTTTGAAGTATCGTAGTGGGTACCTACTCAACCTGTGTAATATTTATCCAAATGATATTTTACGAATTCAGATTCTAATAAGCCTTTTAAGAAGTACTTCTAGCAAGAGAGGTAACTTAGAATGTGGATAACTTAAAATTCAGAGCTCGTTGCCTGACAAGATGTGAGCTGTGCCTGTTTACTATCACGACCTGAGGAAAACCATTGTAATTTTTAAGAATGATACTACTTGCCTGTAATTAGGATTATCTGCTACTTAAGTTAATTCACAGTATTCTTGGATACATAAGCATTACCGTTACCAAGGTAATCTATCTGTTAATGTTCTCGAATGTGAAACAATTATGGCTAATGCTTTATATCAACTAAAACACTTAGTAGATATAAGAGTAGTTGTATGACCCTTTTAAATGGTATTAACCCTGTTCCAGGTTATCCTGGTATTTTATTTTTTCCTCCCCTCAAACATCTTGTTTAAAATTCAATAACAGGGTTTTGTGTTGCTGACCATGTAAGGTAAATAATTGATTTTAAATTTTAGCTGGAAAGCCACACCTTGGGATGGAAAAGCAGCTAGTGCTTGTAGCTAATGCACATATGCATTGGGACCCAGATTATTCTGATGTGAAGCTGGTTCAGACTATGATGTTCCTGTCCGAGGTAAAGAACATTATTGATAAAGCTTCTCGTAGTCTCAAACCTGGTGTTTCGGGAGAGCTTGGAACCATTCCACTTGTACTGTGTGCAGATCTCAATTCCCTACCAGACTCTGGTAAGAGTTCCCTCATTTATTTTTTTAGACTGTTTCAAGTGTATAATAATTTAGATTTTAAGGTCTTGCTTCTTTAAAGGGGTTTTCAATTTAGAGAATACATTGTTTGATACAAGCTTCTAAAGGTACTAATAAAATAGAAGGAAGAGAGAAAAGATAGAACTGTTTCCTTTGTAAGTGACCTTATTGCCTGTGCAGTAGTGTAGCTATGTCTGGTCTTTCAGAAGCATGTTCATTGTTATCTTACAATACAGGAATGGAAAGGAAGACTGTATCTTCCAAAAATAACTGGAAGCATGAGTATGTTGCTGATAATTGGGGTTTTTTAATTTCAAGTGTGACAAGATAGGGCCTTGTCTTTAAAGTTGCCACCATACACTCATTTTCTGCAGCTCACTTATTTTAGGACTTCCAATATTCAATATATTTCCTACCAGAAAGGAATTCTTCAGAGCACTTTACTAAATGCAACTTTTTTTTTTGTCTTGGTGGCAACTTTATAAAGTAGAAGAAAATAACAGTGATGGCCTTCTTGGCTTTCTCAGGTACCCAACTGAAGTGCTGAACTCAAGAGCACTTCCTTCTCATTGCTAGATGTTCAATATAATAATCTTCATTCCTGATCTCCCTTCTGGCCACTGCTTGGCAACTCTTAACATCTGTTAAGGTTGATAGGAGCAGTTACTGCTCAGCAGTACTGGAAACTTGATTCTTTTTGATCCCAGGAAGCAAAGTATCACTAGTGGCTATTGCAGTAGCCTCTTCACGTGTCTGATTGTGTCTTTAGAGCATCTAATTGCTTCTTTTACCTTCTAGAACCTTAACACAGCTATTTGAAATTAAGAGGCACAATCACTGACAAATCTTATCAATTTGGCTTTGCAGCCTCTTTAAACTTAATTTTATTTGAAGTAGTGGTACAGAATTTGGCTTTTTTGGAACACTGTAGCTGAAGAATGCTGAAAGCCAAGACTTCAGCTTGGAGAGGAGGAAGTTCATTACCTAGCATCCGTGGAACTTTATTTCCACTTTTTTCATCTCCCTCCCCAGGAGGTTTAATAAAAACCTTCTTGTTTTTATTAAAGAAAGTATGTCTCTGTTCTAGGTGACATTCACTCTTGATATGTTATATACATTGTATTGTAATATTTTAAAAGAACTACTGCTGACTATTGTACATGTGTTAAGGTTTTGCTTGTAATAAAGTCGCATGTATGACTCAAAGTACCTACACACTCTCAGCTGCTGAATGCTTGTTAATACTGTCTTGTGTGTGTGTGCCCCTCCTAATAGGTGTTGTTGAGTACTTGAGCACTGGTGGAGTGGAAACAAACCACAAAGATTTTAAGGAACTGAGATACAATGAAAGTCTTACTAACTTCAGCTGCAATGGAAAAAATGGAACAACAAATGGAAGAATTACACATGGTTTCAAGTTGAAGAGTGCCTATGAGAATGGTCTAATGCCTTATACAAATTACACATTTGACTTCAAGGTAAGAACGTGGCTGGTATTTTGGGAAAATACTCCTTTTTGAATTTTAACTATAGCGATTTGCTGTACAAAATTGTTACAGAAGTTAATCCGTTTGGGGAGCTAACAGTAAATTCACCAGGTTTATATTTAAAACATAGCAAACCAGAGTGTTCAGCACTTCAGTCTCATAGAAATCAGATTTTCCTTGTTAGTAACTTCTAATAAATTCACAAGAGTTGGGGTGCTGTTAACCTTCCTTGTAAACATGAAGATTTTATATATTAATACTCCAAGCTAAATGAGATAGCTCAACAGGGGCACTGAAGCTGTCAACTTCAAGGAAGTAATCTGTGTTGCTGCTGGAAAAATCTTATTGCTCTGTGGCTCGGGGGAAACAAGACTGCTCTTTTCTTCTTCAAAATCAGATAAATGTGATTTGAAGCTGTGTAGGAGGCTGGAAATTGCAACCCACAAAAGCATAGCAGAAGTGATACAGGGTAGGCTTGACTTCTGTTTTCCCTAATCTGTATTGAGCAAATCAGGGGATATAGGAAGTAAGAATTGTCTTAAGTTGATGCTGTAGAGAAGGAATGGTAGCATTTTGCTTACTCATACGACTGTGCTCACCTTTGTTTGGAAGAATAACTTGAGTCAAGAATATATACTAATAATTTCATTTCTTCTCTTGTTTTAGGGTATTATTGACTACATCTTCTACTCTAAACCTCAGCTAAACATACTTGGCATTCTTGGACCTTTGGATCATCATTGGTTAATAGAGAACAATATAAGTGGTTGTCCACATCCACTCATCCCTTCTGACCACTTCTCACTTTTTGCACAACTGGAGCTTTTGCTGCCTTTCCTGCCTCCTGTAAATGGAATCCATCTCCCTGGCAGGAGGTAGTCAAGTACATTTGAGAGGGCAACCTCAATCTAACTTGTACAATTGTAAAATCTGAATATAGAGGAGTGAGGTATGGCCAACAGGGATTTTTTTTTTCTTAATAATCTTAATCTTAAATCTAATTATTTGCTAAAGACATAGTAAAAGCCAGGTGCTATCAACAGACACAATTCTGAGCCCAATATACTTTGTATACTGTTCGACAGCGACCGGTGCATTTGCACCTTTCTTTAATACGTTACAATTAACCTTCCTGTTTCTTTTATCCAACGTGACATTTTCATGCCTTGAAATAGGGAATTGTTATACAGTATATTCTCTTTGCACAGTTATCTGTAGCACTACTTTTTTGAGGCCAGTAGGAACATCCACAGAACATTCTTCCGTACTTCACTCCCTCCTTTTTCAGACTTGTTTGTAAAATATAGAATTTGAATTTAGCCTTTATTGATTGTATATGAACAACAGAAAACCTGATTTATGAGATTTTGTACTTTAAAAGAAAAAAAAAAAAGAAAAATCAGATTTGGAAAATGATTGTATTGTAAACTAAGGCTAAATTTTTATCTGTTTTCATGTGTTATAAAGGCCAGCTTGTAAAAGAGGTTGTCACAGGTTTTCTCTGCTAATGATTTGCACTGTTAGGGTTTCGTTAGCCCTTTTGTACTACTTTTTATGTTCAATTGAGAACGTTGCTTTTGAAATCCAAACGTATAAAATCATAATATCTTACAGAGATAACTAAATACATTCTGTTTGTTTCTGACTTAAAGAGAAAAGCATAGAGTTCTCGCAGAACAGATAAGCTAAGCAGTGAATCTAAGTAGACCTGTAAGGATTGAAAGTTATTGCTGATGTGTATAGGCTCAGATATTTTTCTCATCTCTAACTTTTAAAGTAAAATTTAGGAATACTCGTGTACAGCTTCTTCATTTCTCTTTTAAATACTTGTCCTATCTCCACTGTGCCTGCTTCAATTTGTTCTCAACTAGCACTGCCTGTGCATGCAGAGAGATCCTGTGCATCCTCTTTTATTTTTTTAAATAATGTTAACACTTGTGAAAATTTTATGAAGATACTTTTGTATAAGCTGTGGCATCTTCTTTTCCTTTGTGAAGCATTGGATATCACACTTTTGGAACATGTTCAGGTTATGGGTACACAGTTTCTAGCTTCTAATACCCATGCACTGCTTCTTTCAGTGTCATTGCACAGTGCTGTTTCTCCCACTAAGAATTACTATCATGTGAATTCTCTTTTCGTTTAAGTGTGTTCCTCAGTTTCAGAAAGTATAATTCCTTGAAGAAAAAACCCAACCTTACATTTTCTATTGATGAAGCAGTGTAAAATAAACGCATTTGCAGTACAGGTCCCAAAGACAATTCTTCAGATCATTTTTTTTAAAGTGACCAAGTCTTTATTTTAAAGTGTCAAGCAAGACTAAAGTTATAGTGTACCCTCAGTGCCATTTGTGTCATGAAGCCAAGTATATAACAGCTTACAAATTTAACTTGTCTATTTGTATCTTAAAAGGGGGAGAATTTATCATCTCCTTAAGCTAATACAACTTGAATAATCAATGTAAAAAGAAATAAGAATGGATAGAGAGCTTGGTCTTAAAACAGCTTTTGTTTCAGCTGCGGGCAGGGAAGCAAAAGGACACTGAGCATTAAGAGAAAACTTTCTAAATATTGTGAATTTTTATATATAAGAGAGTGGATTGGTAATAATGATTCAAAATTTTATTGAGTAGTCGGCACGTAAGTGTGCTCCAACCGTTCTGTTCTAAGCTGAGAGTCAAACTGACAAACAGTTCGGCTGTGTAAAATGTACATTTTAAAATTGCAATAGGAGAAATCTTGATCTTGAATCCTTGTCTGGGACCTGATCTCTTGGGGTTATTTTGGTTTGGTTTGAGTTGTGAAAACACCAAACATGTCCAGTTTATAATCAGTACATTGAAATGCTGGTAGTATTGCTGTAGTAGACTTAATGCGTAGTGTTATTTTTTTTTTCTGTTTGTTTTTTGGGGTTTTTTTGTAAAGTGTGAATAAAAAGGTGTTTTACTCATGTTTCCTTAATGATGTCTTGGTAATGTACATCATGACAATTTCCAGTGATGATGAGCCAGTTTAGCTTGTCAAACTAAGCAGACTATTTTTTCTTTTCTGATTCTCTGGATTGTGTAATGAGTCCAGAAAGCTTTACAGAAGGGGAAGGGAAGCACTTACTCATTTTGTATTTTTTTAGAGGGGGATAATTTACTTTAATAGATGCTGGAGCTTGAGTGCACTTGTTAGATTCTAAAGGTTTGAGCTTTATCCAATATGTGTTCTCCTCTATTGCTTAGTCTTAAAAAAGTATTTGAATTTATGACAGCATGTTTAAAATACGGCCCCTTTGTGCTTTTGGAGACGCAACTGTTCCTGCGTAGTCACCTCACAGTTCAAGGGTCCACTTAAGTAACTGTTTCCTCCAGCTTTTATACTAGTCCAACAGGTCCCAATCAAAAACCCACTGAACACATTGAAGACACTCCTTTGACTTCACTGGGTTTTAACTGGACTGCAGCTGTGACTTGGGGGCTGAAAGAAGGAGAAGTATTTAGTTTAGGGAAAACCAGAGGGCATCAAAACAGAGCTGAGAGAAACTGTCAAACAATCTTTCAAAGAAAGCAGATTCCTGTGTCAAACAAATCTAACTCAGAAGTCTCAATTTCCAGCTATAACATAGAATAAGGCAATAAACAGTGTCTTCACAAAATCGAAATGTTTGCTTCATAGTTGTTAACACAGAATGGTTAATTGCAATATCTTTATTTGAGGTGGTTTTGGGTGTTGCCATAATGTACCTTCAGTGTTCTTGTTGTAAAAGCACATAGAGCAAAAGTCACAGAACATCCTTGGGGTTGAAAGGATTTATTTAGGTTAGACCAGGCTTTTTTTTTCCACTTAAAGTACAGTCAGCCATATCTTGTCTACTTTTATTTACATTTACCAAGAATTCTTGGGTGTCAAAGTGTAAATTGAAATATACCTTTAACTAAAAGAATGGATTAGAGTACAAGACTAATACCACGACTTACCACTTTTAACATAACACAAGTGTGTGTTGGGGGGGAAGAGCATATAAGTCAGCGTGTGTTGTAATTATTTTGTCCTTTGAGCAGCTTTAAAAAGAGAAGGCAAATTTGGCTGGCATTTGACAAAATTGGCTTTAAGAACATTGTATGTCTGCATTTTGGATTTAACTTTAGCAAATCTCAAGGTTGGTTTTCTAGAGCAGAATTGGAAATAGTTTATGGTTTGCTTTTGTGACCACATAAAACCTGTATGAAAGGCAAAATAATTACACCACCGCTGGGGAGAAAGAAAAAACCAAACTAATTACACTGTAAAACTTAAAAGATTGAGTTAACCGCTTAAGTAGCAAGCCTTTCTCATCCAGCCAGACACAGTATTTTTTAGTATGTTAACTGCTATTCTTTTCCTTTGGTTGCATAAATTTGTAACACTTTAAGTGTCTTGGTATGTTTAAGTAGTGTCTAAAATAGAGTATCTTAGTCTTTATTCACAGTACTTCTGTATAATGTGTAATGCACTGGACTAACTCTTGTTTACCATTCATGTAACAAAAACCAGCACATTATCTGCACTAAGCTCAAAGAATGTTGCATTTGTCTATAGGCAGCTCTTCAATAAGATAAATGGGAAACTGAATATGGTCTGATGGTAAACAAGGGCTTTTACTGTTCTCTTCAGTGGAACTTTCTTCTTGGTCAAATTTTAACTAGTTAGTATTATATTTATATACAGGGTCTTCTTTTTCTTTACCAATGTATTTTCCTACTCATAGCTGACCAATAAATCCAATATCTGTTTCAAAGCTTCTTGAAGTCTAATTCATATTTTAATTCCTAAAGCTTTTTCTCCTCAAGAGTTGTACATACAGCCCAAGCGAGTGAAATGTGGTGAGGGTAAAATGTAGGGAACTTAATCCCAGAAAGGCTTTCCCATACTTTGTTACTTTATGGATCCACAAACCAGAAAACTGCTTGAATCTTGGGTATGGATGGTGAAGGCCTGACTAGTAATGACTCCAAACCTATGTCCAGACCTACTCAGATCTCAGCCCCGTGTCTTCATACCTGGCCATCCTCTGACCTTCCCATGTCAGTCAGGTAAGGTCAGTTGTGCAGTGTAGGGTCCACAGGTTGGTCTGGGTCCTGTAGACCCTGCTCTTTCCTTCTTCCCCCGCCGCCCCAGAAAGCCCAGAGTACACTTGGGGTCTGGCAGTGGGAAGGGATTCAAAGACTCCATTAATTTGCCATTGAAGGGGAACAAAGTGGAGATTTCTTGCATTCATTTTTTTCCCCAAGGCATGAGATTGAGCAAACTCTTTGTCCTTAGTTTACTTTTATATCATGTTCTTTTGGGGGCAGGTGTCTTCTTTATCAAGGTGTACGTGTAACAGCGCAGACTCATGTTTTATATGATGTTCCTATCGCTGACAGCAGAAAACATAAAGCACCTGAGCCCACTTGCTGTGCGAAGCCCTGAAGCACTCGAGACACCTCACGGGCATCACTGCATCTCTTCAGAACTCACATTGGCACCACTTTGCTTTGAAATAGATGATCTAGCTCGGTGTTGCCATGAGTACCACATGCCCCAGAGTGTTCAGCTTGTTTGTAGTTCTAAAATCTGCTGTCTGGAAGCAGCTGCAAGTCCCCAACAGAGTGATGAGTCCATCCCAGACTTCAGCAATGAGTTCTCTTTGGTTCTGCCTCAGGGCTGAGGGTTTAACTCCCATCATCACATCTGCAGTCTGGCCACTAGATGGTGCGGGTAACACAGGCTTCATGTGCGCGGTGTGGATGTATTTGAGGGTGCCATCCAGAAAGTGTGGCTTCTGGAATTATCATTAGGAGTATTTGTGGGAATTCTGGCCCAGGGATGAACCTTTTCTGGTGGCAGTAGTTGGTTTGGTAACATCCATGCCAATTAAATACTGCCTTTGTAAATCCAGATAGGAATAGAAAGGACGTACTTGGTCCTCAATGGTAAAATCAGTCTAGGGCCTTCACTTGCTGCATTTGATCCACTTAGTGCTATGTTTTGAAAGCAGTTGTTAAATGGTTCCATATTGGAGTTTTTGAGCTCTAGTATCTGCTTACCTGGCGTGAAAGTATTGGGAGATCTATCTGTAGAGAAACTGTGCCAAAATTAATGGAGACGCTGGTGTCCTGTCCAGAGAATGTATATGGAAAACATCTCTCACTTGAAGACAAAGGATTGAGCTGAGCTTCTGTCCTGTGGTCCTAACCCAGGTAGGAGAAAATTAGTCTTTTCTTAACTTGCAGTAAATTAACTACAGCTATTTCAATACACTTGAATATAAAAATCACTCTGACCAGACTCATGGTCCTTTATACCCCACATCTGCTGGCTCTTAGGGGACAGTACAAAGTTGGGTTTATTCATTATAGGGTGGGAATTTCC